GAGTCACATTTCAGAGGACAAGATCCACCACAATCGACGCCTGTTTCAAATCCATTTTGTATATTGTCAAAACAGGTCTGTGCTAAACATTTGAATCTGTGTGGATATGTAATGATTTTAAGAATGGTCGAAGCAAGAATTGTGATAGGCGGAATTAAGATGAGTTCAGTTCGAAGTGAGTGATGAGGATGTGTCTCACTCTATATAGGTCTTCGGCGTCTTGTAGATAAAATTACTGGGGCTTGTGAGGCTTCTAAAGCAGCTATAGGATTGATGCTCATGACTTTTCAGTGGATAGTGATTGTGTAGGGAGACAAAGTGGATCATACTGGGTCAAGTAAGATTCACGAGGACCCATCAGAATATTCGGAATACATCAGAAACACATTCAGGTTTTATAGTCTTTATTGAAAATCTTTACTTCACGTGACCAACGAGGAAACGTCCCCAAGTGATGCAGCACTTTCAGGTCGAAAATATGTGCATCATATTCATCATAACGAGCTTTGAATAATGCGTGAAAACTGAAGGCTGTTAGTTTTGTTCTCGTCGGAATACTGCATTTTCATGGTACTTTTCTTCTCGATAGTATAACTTTTTTTTGGAACATCAGAAATACTGGTTGTCGAATTTCGACCTGAAACCTTGAGCATACGTATGCACAAATTCAGGGAGAAAATCGGGACTCATGGCCCCCATCTTCCTGAGTATCATTGTACTTTAAGCAGGAAAAATAGAAAAGACTGACCTGATTTTCAATGCGTCGGAAACTTTGCGTTAATCTTGGGTACTGTATGGAATCCATGCCTCATCTGAAATATCCTAAAAAAACACAGCGTATTCCTGAGAACTGCTCGGAACTCCTTCAAAACTTCGGGAACCCATAAAAGCCAATGGAAACCTACTGCACTTTCTGAAAGCTCTCGAAATCCATGGAAATCATTGGAAATCACAAGGGACTTTAGAAACTCTTAAATACCTATGGGAAATATCTATGAACCCTTGAAGCCCGCCAAAAGCCCAAGAAAAAGTCCTACGAACTTTCAAGTATCCATAAAAGCCTTCGAGACCCGGTAAATGCATAAAAATGCTTCAGGTGTTTTGGACAGCTCTTCGAACTCATAAAGATCCTTGGATATCTATATACTCTGAAAAACAAATTGGTACGATACGCAACTTAAAAGTATTTTCCAATTTTGTAACGAAATCGAAACCTCTTTTTAGGTTTCGTACGAACTACGAAACCTTTTTCAGGCATTGCACGGTTTTACGAAACTTTTCGAAGGTTTCGCAGAGGTTTACGATACTTCAAAAAGGTTTCGATTTCGTTGCAAAATTCGAAACCTTCCAAAACACCTTTTTTCTTGGGTGTATGCTCATGACAACCCTTAGGAACTTTCGAAGGCTCCTAGAAGCCTATAAAAGGCCTCGGAAATCGTGAGATATCTATAGGAGCAGTGTGGACCTCTGCAAACGATGAAAACCTTTGGGAAAAACAGAATACTTGCGAAATTCGAGACACATCATGTGTTGATTGGGTTTCTAAATGTTTGTAGTGGCTCGGATGAGTTTTCCAGAATTGCTTATAGGTTTCTGGAGTCTCTTTGAGGTTTTCATATGTTTCGATGAATTTCAGGGAGGTGCCATAGGTTCTAGATAGTTTTCATGGATTTCCAGGATTTTGAGGAGTTCGAAGAGGTTCACAATAATTGGCTGTGTTTTTAACTCTGAGTCGATCACCTGGATCCGTATGAACCCATATAAAAACGAGAACTCTGTAGATATGTATTGCTATTTTTTCACGCACATATTGGGGAGATGAAATAAATTAATATTGATAATACATATTACTCTTGTACAGTGCAATATAAATCTAAGCACTAAACTCCACGATTGTATTTGGACGGCATCCAAATGAGATTGGTAGAATTTGAGCATTAATAAGGGGAGGGAGTGTCAGAATAGAGATATTCGAGGTGGAGGGAGGATTTGGCAGGGTGTATATGGTTTTCCGAAAGTTTTGAAGAGGTTGGCTAAGATCCACAAAGATTCAGGGACTTATTAAGATCCTGCAAGATCTGATAAGATCCCGTAGGATTCGAGAGTCCAGGATTCGCTTTTTCCCGCTAGCGAGGCTTGCTGGTCTGCAAGCGATCAAGCAATGTCAAGCGAAGTTTTATTTCACAGTTCGTCGCGGTGTAGATTTGAGGAAAGGGTTTTACATGCACGAAGGATCAATCCGATCGAGTCTAATGAATGACTAGTCTGTTCACTGTCCTGATCGCCTGATTTTAGTGTAGGATTCAAAACCAAACAGGTTCTATTTAAATAGTTTCGAAGGACAGTAGAAAAGTGGTCATTTGATCTTTCTGGCTACTCGGTTTGTTTGAAGTTATTCTATATGCATGTGGCTCAATCTCTACTACGGACGGACTGCAGAATAAAAAACTATCTCGCCCTCCACTAGCATCGTGACATGTTTCTATGAGAAGTTTGTTCTGTGTGCGTCATTTAGTGGCCTCCATCACTCCAAACTGTATTGGCCAAGGAGAAACGACGTACTTTCTATATTCTTGCACTCGCTGAACGTCGTGTTCCCCGTACTCCACGTGTACTTAGTGAGCTTCGTCAATACTCAGAATACTAGAGTGCATCGCTTCCGTCCTGTCTAATTTCCAAAAGTGGCAAGGATCCGATAGACGGATCTACTAAGTAAAGATTATTTCTATAAGAACCCGATGTCTATTTCCAATTTTCGCATCAAGAAAGACGAAAAAGACTTGAAAACATTCTGAATTTTTGGGGTATCTCAAAGCACTTGAAAATTCAGTAACATAGAATAAAATACAAAAATATAGGTTTTTGATTTAAAGATATAAAAGCACAGAATACGCTTTTCTCCGTAGTCCAGATGCTCACTTTGCTTTCGAAAAAGTGAAGGTTGTCTAGAGACCCACTCAAAAGCCACGATTGTGTTGGAGAAAATTTTTTTAATGGCAGCCATCAGAAATTGCATCACATAAGAGTCCTGAAAAATTTCGACTGCATGAAGTTATGAAGAAAACCATGTAAATCTATATAACTTCTGGTGGAATACTTCATATATAGTCTACTCACGGGTTGTTGTTGTTGTTGAGCGCGTTGTTGTTATTAGTTGTGTTGTTGGTCGTGTTGTTGTCAATGTTGGTTGTGTTGTTGTCATTGTTGGTTGTGTTGTTGTTGGTCGTGTTGTTATTGCTATGGTGCACAAGTTCAAAGTTCAAATAGTGAAGGCATAAAAATTGTCTTCAGCAGAGATGTCTGTGGTGTAGATACTCATCAGCTTGTTTCAAGAATAACAGTTCCCAAGAAATTCAGAAGGATCTTTCATAAAAGAATTACAATAATCCCTGAGTAGATGTATTGCTCAATGGTACCTTCAAGAGCACAATCTAATCATACCTACCACGGATGCAAAGCGACCGCTACCCTGAAGATCCATAGAAATTTCACTTCTGGATGTGGCTTTTAGGAGCGCAGATAGATGTGCATCTGATTCGTAAGATGAATAGTGCAATATTATCAATGATTTTCGATGATGTTGAATTATTCATCTTTCGTGTTCTATGAAGAATCATCCCAATTTTGAGAAATTTATCGTTTTTCAACAGCAGAAATAAAAAAATTCGTTTTTTCGCGTTACAATCCCCGCAGATTTTCGATCTCTCAGATCAAAAAATCTCCATCGTACCCAAATACGTATATTATCTCTCACAGATAGGAACAATTCACTGGCAATTACCTGCAGGTATAGTAACCGTTGATGTTGTTACACTTGAATTTAGCGGTGGACACACCTCAGAGACGGTGAGTGCTAATGGATAGCACATTGGCTTAGTACAGCGAGTGCTGACAACGCAGATAGTATAAGGCACTGTGCACGTCATGCTATCACTCAAACAAGGTGTTAGACTCGAGCAAGAGAGTAGTGCGGCGCATATGCCGCCGGTGCTTGAACTAAATGCCAGGCATTCACAGTCAGAGTTAGTTGAACACGGTGTTGCTCGAGTGCCACATGTCGAAGGTTGACATTGGACGCTAGCCTGTAATTGTCCTGTTAAATAGTCAACATACAGAGATGATGATATAATACAGATGATGAGTTTTTTCACCTGTTACACTGGCAATGCACCTAAACAATTGAATAAAACTATTTATACAGTGTTTACTCATTAAGCAAGATTAACTCACATTAAAGCAGTTAGCACAG